CAAATAAAATATCAAAAACAAAAAAAAGTGATATTATTTAAAGCAAAGCAATGAAGAACGCAAAGCCTAAAGAAAATATGGGTATATTTCTCAAACAACATGTGCAGTTTTTAGGCTTATGAAACTTATTTTAAAATAAAAGAGCTTAATATTTATTTGAAACTTACCAGTAAATTTTAAAAATTGTGAGACAGATCTGAAGCTAATAATCCTCACACAGACACTTCTAGATAAAGATCTTTCTAACTAAAAATGTAAGCAGGTATATAAATATATATGCATAAGTATACACACAAGCACATGAGTGAATTAACCGTTCTAGGGTCTGAAGACTTTCAAAAAATCTAGGAACCTCCGTATCCAATGAAAGTACAAAACTCAAATTAATCAACACTAAAATCCTCAATCAAATTAAAACTAGGCGTATTGATCATGAAAATAGTTTGAGCGTATATAAGTTATGGAAAATATGGCAAATAAGTGTCTACATTATCAGAATAAATATAAGCAATATGCAAAGAACACAAATTTATCAGAGAAGATAAGTAACATCAGAAATGAAGACTGTAGTTGTTAAAGAAGTCATGAGAGTAAGCTCAAACATGAAAAGATCTGTGATTCAAATTAATGTAACAACTGCAAAAAAACATTTTACCACTGGTGGTTATAGGAACATAAGACATAAGTTGTTTTACAGTCTTCTGGCAAACATATTTGTTTGTATTACTTTGGAAGCAATTTTAATATTGCTAAAGTCTCCACAGGAAAACAAGGAAAACAAACTTTGGGTGCCTGGTTGAACCCAGGCCCCTGAGTTCCTTCAGTACTTGGGTCAAGCTCAGGGCTGTGGCTGTTCAAGGAAGCAGGGACCACTGTGTAGGTCAGAAAATATTTAAAGCTTTTCCACTTGAGAGAAATTGGCTTTAAGGCATGAAGGAGGACCATGATAAAATGAAGAGGCACCCTAGAGACAAAATTCCCCTATAGACCTGTGGTAGACAGGTTCCAGAAAAACCTCCTGTTTTATGTGAGAGGCAAGATCTCAAGGAAAAGGCTGAGGGAGCTGTCCACTACTGGTAATGTACTTTCTTTACAAAGAGTTCTTACCAGAAAGAGCTCAAATTCACTCTAGTGTCAGTGTGCACTAACTACACAAAATCAAGACAGAAAGGAAAAAGTAGAGAAGCATTAAATGAAGTAAAAATTTTAATTAGAAAAATGTCTCTACTTAAAGGGAAAATTTAAGTGGAAATTTTCTGAGAAATTCTGAATGCTTTGGGCATATGTTTACTTGTCTATATTTAACAAGGTGATTGAGAGCAGTCTCTGAAAATATAAATAATCAGTTAAGGTTAAGAGTTACTCCCCACTCCCCAGGACACAAGAATCACAAGATCATGAGCAAACTCTTAATTTGAAATTTTTCCTCATTGAATTTTGGTTCTTAGCGGTAGACTCTAACATAGGCAACTATCGGATTTTACTGGCTTTCTGGTAAGGCTAAATTACAGAAACGTTCATCCTTTTTTAGCTTTCCTCTAAATAAACATCCCTTTGCCTGTGTTAGAAGGAAAATTCCGTATACCAATGAAATCTTTAGAGTTTACTTGAGCAAAGCAAAACAATTCGAGTCAGGTACCTCCTAGAACAAGAGTCCTTGAGACAGTTCCAGCCAAAGGCATCAGATGACATTTGTAAGAAAAAGGAAGTCACAGAGAAAATTACTTCATTGGCTACAGCCTAGTCAATCAACCAGCTAATTGATTACAGCTACCCTAGTTGTTTAGTGCATACTTACCTGGCAGAGGACTTTCTACAGTCAACATAACCTAGTTATTATGATTGAACTTGACAATTGCTTTAGTCTGTTGGGGCGGGTGTATGTACCCAATTCACACCCAAGACTTCTGAAAAATATCACTACCAGACACTCCAGCATTCTGTGGATGGCTACACATTGTCATTGTGAACTGGAACTGTTATTTTTCACTGTTGGAAAATTATGGACGTACATATATGCTCAGTCCCAGCTTTCAGCCCACTCTATCCTAGTGTGAGCCTAGTGTTGGCAAAGGCTGCACAAAGGTCTCTTTTGTTAACAAGAACATGATTGGGACAACTTAATTTCTTCTTAGCCATATAATTTTCACTTGGAAATGTCTGCCAGATACATACAGAAATCAGGACTTGAATTATACACCCTAAGCTGCTGTAAGCATTTAAAGGTGACTGGAAGAGTACAGGACTTCATTAATCCTGGTCCCTATACTAGGAAATGTGTTTACTTTGGGCAATCTTTGAAATCTTAGTCCAACAAATTAAGAAGACTTGTGTTTGTTTACAATCCAGAAAATCATGAAGCTGAAAGGGGATTATTGACAGGGAGTTATTCCCTGTAGTTGACTAGGACTACCTCATTTGAGTTTCGGCAATTGCTAGTGTTTTCTGACCCTTGCAAGATTACTAACAGCTGTAAACATGTGGGCCCCTTTGGTTAATCCTCTGGAGATCTAAAAACAGAGCAACCAAGATTTGAGTGAGAGATGACAGAAAGGAGCATTCATTCAGATGGAAAGTACTTTTAGTCCAGAGATACTGGGGAGCAGCCCAGACATAAAGAAGGTGCTCACAAGAGGCCCCTTCTATAGCCCAAGGGGAAAATAAATGAGGAAGTGCCTTGATAATATTTAGAAATTAAAATTTTATGTAGCAACAAATACTTAAAGAAAGTTTTGGGGTTTGGGGAGTTTTTTGTTTTGTTTTTTGGGGGTTTTTTTGTTTGCTTTGTTTTTTTTTTTTTTTTTAAAGACTGCTGGCACAGTCTTTTTTTCTGTTGTGGGTTTATGTGGTTTGACTGTGTTGTCATTCCTAATGGCTATTATTGATCCTATCTGGTTTGCTTAGAGGGAAAGAAGCCTGAACTTGATATGAGAAACTGACTTAAGGCGTGTTTTCTCAGTTTTGTGTACAGTCAGTGAAGTTCATTTAATATTTGTGCTTTCCAGACCCACTGTGACTTTTTTATTTGCGGGAGGTGGGGTAAGAACTCCTGGATAAGGCGGTAATAAATACACACTCCACACAAAGAGGCTCTGGCTTCCTCCTTTCTGGGACCCAGTGCACACTGTAGTAGCTGGTGACTGTCCAGGTTATGAGCCCCTAGTACTTGTAGGAACACCTCTCCATTTTGCCAGAGGCTGAGATCTCCTCTGCTGTCAGAGACTGGCTCTCAGGAGAAGACCACAGTGCATCTGACTTGTACCAGAGGCTGCATCCAGCATAGCTAGATAGATCACCCCATTAGCTTTTCCCAGCAGACCATTCTATAAAGAAACTAATGAATTTCAGGACCTCACCTAAGGGCATTGACTCTTCTGTGGCAAGGCAAGGTCAGGCGAGCCTTCTCATTCCATATTCTTTGCCTTTCTCCCATGGAAAACCAAGGATTTCTAAAGCCTAAAAGGGTTGTAGCTGTCTGATTCTAACCTCTTTGTGTGTTTAAACAGCATTAGAGACAGCAAGTTACTTGCTTGGGGCAGAAAGCTAATGGCTGAGGGGTTTGGGGGAGGGGCAGTGTGTGAGACTGAAGTGAGAGAGCTTGTCTCTATGTTTGGAAGTGTGTGTGCTTCAGATTCTACAAGCCACATGAAGGATGTAAAAATCTATCTTCTGTGGTGATCCCTGCAACCTATGGCAAGGGTCAAGGGGTTTCTTGGGTTCTGAATATTCAGTTTCAGGACAGCTGGAAAAAATAATTCTCTCAAGAGTAATTTTTTTTTTATCCCACAATGCTAGAGTTTAAAAAGCAAACACAAAACAGGAAAAAAAAACCAACTGTTATCATCAAATTAATATTAAGCATGAAATTATCCAGAGGACAATTTGTCAAGATCACTAACACTATATACAAGAGTAAAGAACGTAAAATCCTATTTGATGTACTCAAACACTCATAACAGTGTTCATCCAAAATCAATTCCACCTCTCATTAAAGGAGCATGCTACAAAATAAGTAATTGCTGGTTTACAAGGCTTATAGGAACTAAATTCTTTGAGTCTGAAATACAGCTGGAAACTCTTAATGTGATGCAGAGGCATTTGCAATCCTGCCTCCCCAAGCCCACCCTGGAATCCCAAGTTCAGTAACAACTGCAGCAAAGGCAGTAAGCTTTCCAGACACAAGCCCCTTCCTGGTTTAGAGTGAATTCATTCGTATCTGGTGAATTTGTATCTGTATACTCTACACATTTCAGGTTAATAATATCTAAGTTTTAATATTAACATGCGCCTTTAAAGGTAACGGAGGGAGCAGTGATGCCGACGAGGAAAACCTGAAGCTTGCATGCTGTGGCCGCTGAACTGCGCTGTTGATAAATCTTATCTTTGAGCATTTCACGGACACGTTGCAGATTCAGCTGTAACTCATGATGTTACTAGTTTTACTCAACTTATTTTCAATTGAGATTCCAGCAAGAAACAAAAATATATCCTTCAAAGCTTATAGCACATTGATTTATTCATCCTTTTTCCTTCTTATCAGTTGAAAAGGACTTAGATATATGCTGGAAAGAGAATTTAGATACTTAACTCAAAGAAATCTGAATATCTTGATTTAAAAGAAACCATTTCGTTGCTCATGTTATATTTAATATTGTTTAAAATGAATGCGTGAAATATCCTGCCATCCTGACTGGAGAAAAACGAGAAGTAAATGTATTTTTTGCCTAGTTTGGTTCTAATTACAGGAGAGCATTTTCCTCTACTTCACTACCTCAAGGTCCCAGGACTGCATTGGCACTGCTTGCTGCTCTGGCACAAAAGATATTCCATCTTTCAATGTCTTCACTTAGCCCTGGGTGTTGTCCTGCGCACACTATAGTCTCCCTGGCAAACCCAGCCACACAAGACCAAGCCTGGTCCATAAAGGCCACTGCTAAGCATCATCCTGGTGAAGCAAACCACCCCTGTAGGATATTTTGTCTCCAAGGAGATCCACTTACCTTCCTAAGGAGATTCAACAAGTTTACCAGTGTTCACCAGGAGAGGGCTGGGGGACTTCGAGGGTGAGAAAGCACCTCCATCCTTGCCAGATTCCTTCTTTCTGAAGAACACAGACACCCAGGGCTGGGGTGGAGCAGCGCAAGGAAGCCCCCAGGGTAAACTTTGGTCTGGAACCAGACTGAAGCTCCTGGGACATTATCCAGAGAGCTCAGGGAGCCTAAAGCCTCTTGGGAAAGGCCAAGGATAAAACGAAGAATCCAAGCTACCTGTGTCACCGAGGCTAGCAGTGACCCTAGGAAGGGGAATCCCACCCATGCCAAGAGCCCAGGCAGTCTCCCCCGTGCCCTCACCTGCTCCCGGGCAAGGGCTGAGTCCCAGCCCTGTTGAAAGCAGAAGCCAAGCGGAGCCTGAGCAACAGGTTTTGTCTGGGTCGCCGGCTCTGCTCTACCAAGTGACCTAGGTACGACAAGCTAGCCACTTCCCTGGCAGCCGGGCTGGCGCGGCGGCTCTGCACTCTCCACTCTTGCTCAGGGCTTCCCTCTCAGTGCTGCACCGGCCAGCTGCTGGTTAGTCACAACGCAGCTACTCCCAGCCTGCTTAGAGGCATCTGGGTAGCTTGTGAATTCAGAATCTCTGTGCTGCAAAAAGGGGAGCCGCTCTGATTACCACCTCCTGGGATGGCTCAGCTCAAAATCCTGGGCAATCTTTTAAACCTCTAGGTGTCTGTTTCCTTCTGCTGCAAAAGAGAAATGGTTATTATCTTAGTAGGCTCTTTAAGAACTAAATGGGTAGCCACATTTAACTATGCCAGAATGGTCGTGGGTTACATATTAAGTGTTCGTTAATTTTTGTAAGTTCTCATAACAGTGGGAATTTCATCTTAGATTACAAATTAATCCATCTCTCACCTAAGCTGCTCTACTGGTCCTTGCAATGGCCTCTTAGCTTGGAAGAAGACCTCTTTGAGATTCTGGAAGGGTGAATTCTCATAGCCACCAGTGGAAAGAGAAAAGGAGAGTCCTGCAGCGACTCTAACACAACTTCTGCGTTGGAAATGGCTAAGAGAAGTCACGCTTAAAATAGGATTATTAACTCAGAGATTCACAGGCTGAATGAAAAAGTTAAAGACTCTTTAAAAGAGTAGCAGGGATAGTCTGCATCAGGGTAAGACACTAACAGCCAGAAGAAGCCAGAGGAATTCTCCATCCACCCACACCAAGGCTTTTGTGCAAGAACACAGGGTGCCATTTAAATCACACTAGAGGCTGCCTGTAAAGGAATTCTTGGACAGAGAGTGTCTCTCTCTCTCTCTCTCTCTCTCTCTCTCTCCCTCCCTCCCTCCCTCCCTCCCTCCCTCCCTCTCTCTCTCTCTCTCTTTCTCCCTCCATCTCAATTGTGAATAAATTGAGAGTCCAGGTAGGAATAAGTCTTTTAAGACTTTACAAGTTCAAGATCAGGGTCTGAGAGAATTTAAAAGCCATTGGAGGAACTGAAGGGCTGAGAGGAGGCAGGTCTTTGGCGAGTTAACAGTGAAGAGGAATGGAACTGGGAGAGGTGATCTGTCAGTCTAAGAATGTTGAGATGTAAAAGCTGATGAACTAGAGGAAAAGGCGGGCCACTCCACACAAATCCCTGTCCCACCGAAAACTAAAGGTCCCTAAAAGTGAAATGACACACCTACAGCCAGGTTTTGATAAGACTGAGTAACATCTAGCTAGCTTCCAGGAATTTCATTTCAAACTGTAAAAACTGTAAACTGGCTGTAATAACCAGATCCCCAGTGAGTCCACTTGTGTATTTCATAAAGCAATGCAGTATAAGATATACCCCTGAAACCTCCAGGAAACCATAGAGCATGTCTGTGAAGCAGACAGGCCCATGATGGAACCATCTCTGGCTGTGCACTTCTTATGTACCCCACTGGACACTTTAACTTTTTTGCCTCACCATGTATTGGAAGCCTATCTCCAGGGCTTCCAGCCTTTCTTCTAGCCTCTCCCCTTTACCCTCTGTTCCTACTGCTGCTGCCAAATGAATTATTCACCCTAGCTTTCAGATGGGCTCATTCACTCCTACTTAAAGTAAAACTCCAAACCAATTCTCTCAAAGCCTTAAATGTGATACCCACATCACCCCTCCCCAGGAGCAACCACAGTCTATTCTGTGGTTTATATTTCCTTACCTCTCACTCTGTCATCAGCCTGCTCTGTCCAAGCTCTTGAACCTCTGAGGAACAATCCTGTGGGGATGATCACTTAGCTCATTGTTGATAAATGCAATGGGCATGTTTCACTTTAGGCTTTCCTGGCCTTAGCCAGCTTGATTTTTCGGAAGAGTTTTTATTCTTGGCACTAGTTTCGCAGTACTGCCCTGTTTTGCTTGGCTGTTTACTCTGAATCTCTGGCAACTTTGTTACTATCAACTTGGAGTTTTCATTGTTTCCTTCACAGCCATGTAATACAAAAGCTCCTTTACGGCCTGATGTCAGGCTTGTTTCTCTCTCTCCTAATTCTGTACTAGCCTCCAGTAGCATATGAAAGCATGCGAAGATCTCACCACCGTACCTCTCTGTAAAGAACATCTATTCTGCACAAGGATCTCTTTCTTGACGTGGCCAATGTCTAGCTCAACATCACTCCAAACTCAGCACATGTAAATACCGGATCACAGCCTTCACATAGTTCATTCGTCAGCTCTTTCTTGACCTCTCTGTCTGCCTTTCTCAGTGCTAGGTTAAATATGGTGAGACCTAAGTCACTGAATGAGAGCCTAATGTAGAAACCTGGCACTAACAATGGTCAAGAAACAGGACATGGGGGACTTCAGTAATTGACAGCTTCTCTGGTTCTACCTGGACCTTACACTTATTTGGGAGGGGGGAGTTCAGTGTTTAAATATGGTACACATTTCTATTTAATAAAGACATTTTGATCAATAAGGGACTGTAAGCCATCAGAGTATAATGGAACTTAAAATGTCACATTGCTTGATTTCTCTTCCATTGTGACACCGCAGCACATTACTCATGTGCCTGTGGTAGACCTGGTATGATATTAACTATCATATTGCTTGTGATTAGACTTTTTTCCCATCTACTTATTAAAAGTCTTAGTGTAAAACTCTCCAGTGCTGTACTGATAATAGCCTCATTTATCACAGGCTTTTGTGCTCTTTGGGTTGGGTCAAGAGACATGTCACAGACTGACCTATACTGTTTAAATATATTTCTGTGCACTTTAAGGTATTCCCACAATGTTGAAATTACCTAGCAATGTTGTTTTCTAAATCTGTTTAAATGACACACATCTATCTATATTCCTGATATAAGTGGAAAGTCAGTGAAGTTTGATACAAATGCAAAAATGGATTATTAATAGATATTAAAATAGTTATGTTATAGATTTCCTGAAGTGTTTGTCCATATTCCATTTTGAGGTTTCTTATATTACAGTGATGGTACTTCAATTTAGGGAACATTACCTAAGTCATATGAAGATAAACTTACGTAATGAAGCCCAGAAGAAAAGAGAAGATTGCACACCACCTAGGGACACTTTGACAGATGGAGGAAAGACCAATGGAAGGGAAGAACAGAGAGAACCATAACTCTGGTTGTGATCATTTCCCATCCAGTGTCATTGTTTTTAACTCAAGTTTGATGGTTGTTTTTAAGGGAAAAATAAGATTAATTTTTAAAAGATGTTAGAGAAGTCAATATATATATATATATTAAGAAATGCATGTAGACAAATTACATAAATAAATAATATCATTACAAAAGCCAAGGAATGAGTATTGCCAAACCAATAAAATACAGATTAATATATGAATTAAGTATCATTTTCCTATTTATATTACCAAAAATATCCATTTTTCAGTTAATAAGGAAAATAGTAATACCCCTTTAAAAACACTTTTGAAAAACAGCCAGTACAGGGTAAATTTTAATTTTGTTAGGTTTTTAAATAATAAACTCACTCTTGAAAATATGCTCACTAGACAATACTACATCAAAAATACTAGAAGCAGGAAGTCATTTATTAGTTTAAACTAAACAATGAAAGAGTAGGAGATGTCTGGTATCTCAACACAATGAAATTTATATGGCCATAAAATGTGTTAATTGCAGTGTCAATAGCCACAAATAGAAAGAAACATAGAGTAACACTAAGTGAAACATGTATGATAATTGGGATAAACTGTGATTATATGCAAAGTAACAAAGTTTAGGATAATATTTAAATGGGGATTTAGAAAAATCTCTATATTTTGTTCTAGTTATAAATGAATACATCTCTTCTAGTTTATTAACTATTGTTCTTATTATTTTAGCATCTATTCATTCTTACCTGTTTTGATCCTTTACTCTCAAGAGCTTCAGTTTTTTAAGCGTAACAAAGTACTCAGTTCATGTTTTACTCCTTGAAAACATTGAGGCTCACTCCCTGTTTAGCAAGCCATCTTCTTCCAGTTTTTCATCTACCAATTTGTAGTCTCTCTGTGTTTGAATAGTTTAGTTAGTGATGTTCACTGCCGTTGGGCAAGTTTTATGGGAGAGGGTTGTAGGCATGGACTAGAAGAATTGTCCCCTGTTCTTTAGTAGCCTTTCCCCCCCTTTAAATTCTTCAGTTATGTTAAGACAAGGGTCTCGGGGTCAAACTCTCAAGACCAAGCTGGCCTTGATTGAAGATCCTCCTGCCTCTGTCTCCTGAGTGTTAGGATTCTGGAGACGTTCAGCCATGCTCAGCACTTCAAAATGCTTTGAAGGAAAGCGTTGAGTTTGATTTGTAAGACATAAGCCCTTTATAATTTATTTAATTCTCTCTATTAGGACTCTATGGAGTCCACATCCGAAAGTTAAGATCAAAACAGAAATATTACTTCCAAAAAGAACAAGGACAAGGCATTTCAGTTTTTGTTTTCGTTACTCAATAAATAAGTAACATTTGGGCATGTCAGTGATGTAACTTAGGCAAAAGATATGCCACAGGAAAATGTGGAGCCAGGAAACACTGAGGTTTGTGTGGAAACAGATCTTTGCTTGCAAAAGTGGCAACTATGTAAGACAGAAGAAAGTTTCCGGATTTGAAGACTTGTT